TTTGACTGAACCCCCCCCCCCCCCGCTCCCGCCGAGAGGGTCTCTATGTAAGCAGGAAACGCCCGTGATACATGGAAATCGTAGCGTGAAGACCTTCGTCATAACGCTGTCCTTCCAACGCGCCTTTGAGCTCAAGAACGCAGATTTCACCGCATTGGCAGAGCCTTTCATTTCGCCAAGTTCAACGGTCCCGGCATCTTCAGCATACGCCTGCCTTGAAAAGATGGAATACATATTACTCACTCAGCCCTGGGTCATTGCCTGCAGAACCTTGCGATACCAAGAAACCGATACATGGGCAGCAGGCACCAGCACGGTGAGTCGGGAACGTGGGGGTCGAGATGCCGGAGAGGGGTCCAGGTACGACCGATGATTGCCGAACCTTCATCAATTCATTCCCTACGATCTGCCCCCGAAACGCAGGCGGTATGGCCAGAAGGCTGAAGATAGGTGCTACGGGACTGTCGTTGCCGATCGTTTCCCGTTCACACACGGTTGCACTTCCGTTGACGTCAATCCGGGTGACATCAAGGCAAACAACACGATATCATTCCATGCGGGTTACGGTACACAACGTCCCGAGTGCTCTTGATGCCGCGATTTCCTCATGTACAGTGCATACTTCGAACTCACTGTTGTGAATTCGATTGGCCGTGTTGTTTGAATAACCAGAGTTCGTGCCTTCGACGAGAATAATTTTGTCATCGAAGAAACTAAAACAGCGGCTTCGAAGAATACGACATAGGAGCCATTCTTCTGGCATCTACTGTACACTACTACCACGCATCTTGGATGTTGGACACCGAATCAAGGAAGGAGCCACGTCCACACACACACACACCCGCCAGCAAGAGGCAAGCGATAGCCCCCACGAAGAAAAGACCCGCGATTCGCGAAAACTAGAGTACCGCAGTTGCACGGTACAGGAACAACTTTACACTTGTTGTATCGCACGTACTATGTGACGATCACATGCTCTTGTCTGCGACAAGTCGAGAAAGACGTAAGCTCCACCACTACCGATCCATTTCGACCCGGCTCTTGTGTAAATTTTTCATTATGGAAGACGTACCTTGGCTTTGAGGGATTCCGGTGCGTTGTAGACGTCTCCCGAGTGGGCGTCTTCCACCACAGCCGCCAGCCGCGTGCCCTGGTCGATGGCTCGCTTGGCGTCGAGCTCGGCCGCCTTTTCCGCCCCGCCTATCAAGAACACCGGCATGCCGGCTTCCTTGAGGGGATCCTGGCACAAGAGAGACAGCAAGGCATTAAAATCAGCAATAGTTAGCCAAATATTTCCGTGATTCTTTGGGTGCTTTATTTCGGGGGGTGGAGGTACTCGTAGTCGTGCGTGGATATCAGAAACCTTCACAGCCATCAACGCACAGGTCCATCAGTAACCAAGTCATCGGTTCAAATATACCTCGAGATCTTTGAGTGGCTCCTGGCCCGCGCAGACAATGACGTTGTCCACCGGCAGCACCATCGGCTCTCCATCCACCTTGATGTGGAGGCCCTCGTCATCCACCTTGTTGTAAGACACGCTTCCCAGCATATGAACTCCTGATGAAATGGCACGCAACGAGACATTTCAATGTAAGCACAATCCCTCCTCTCTGTGCTTGCAACCATCGTCGTAGAGGTCAACTTGTTTTTCGCAACACCTTTGCTTGAGAGGTTCGTGTTTTGGTCAGGGTGTTCACCTGCGTGAAGGACACACATCACCTCCCAAGAGGTTCTGACGGTCATATGGTCTGTCCTGTCGTGCTTCCATGAGCTAGTACGAAAGCTGTGGCGCGCCAACACCTTTCCCGTGAGACCGTCTCTCTGGTGTTTTGATGGTTGGAACTATTGAGCTATGGCTTATGCTTTTACGTACCGCGCTTCTTTAGAGACGTGCGGTGTATCCACCCGGTAGTCTTCCCAAGACCCTTGCCCAGAGGGGCCTTCTTCCTCTGACACCTGCAGTCGGAGAGGGGGGAGGGGGGGGGGGGGGAGAGGGAGGACATACTGAATCACCAACAGGGGGACGTTCCTCACCGACGGCTATTGGGGCTCCTTCCGACCAAAAGCAAGCCGCCTTCGAGGGCTTTTAGCGACGGAACAAGCACATGACCTGTCGTCAACTCACAGCCAGATTTCCCTGCCGTTGTGGCCAGAGTTGTCACCGCTCGTCCCATCAGCGAGCCCCCCTCGGTTGGACAAATGCCGGTCGATCTTCCATTCCTGTCGCAAGGAAGGGCGGGCGGTTATGCGTTCAGTTTGCCTAGAAAGGCTACGTAATCAAAATGTTGGAGGGCTAAGCGCGGAGGTCACCTACTTGACAGATTGAGAATGCAGATTATATTGTAGAACGAGCGATCAGCTTTGTGGATCGATCAATGTATTGAGATTTCAGAAACTGGCAGGTGGATTCATGGGCTTCGCCTTCATGCCTCCCTGTGGCGAATCCACGACTAGACTGTACTACAATAAACTGTAGACTAGCCCTACAGCTCCTTGGGACGCCGATCACCATGTACTATCTACCTCACACAGGTGGAGATGTAATAAGGCAACACCCCGTTGTGTAAAAAAAAATGACCTTTACAATCGGGCTAACACTATAATTTCTGTACTGTACACCCTATCAGGTATGAGTGCAGAGGCAGAGACAGGCTACGGGAAGTTGAAACCAAATCTTCCCGATACATTACAACGGCCGCATTGCCAGGAGTGTGCACCCGAACCGCTTCGAAACACCGGTCACCACGAACCGCATCCCACGGTTTCACGAACGGCCAAGCATCAATCTCTCAAGCACAACGCACCCACCCATACACGCACGTCAATCGTACTCTCGGTTTCATGTTTTCGCAGAACATCACCCGAGCTTCACTCGATCAGGAACACACCTTGAGGAATGATGGTACGTCTTGGAGGCGTTCTTCGGCGGGGGTCTGTAGCGCTTTCTCCCCTAGCAGGTACTCCGAGACGTCGAACCCGATCCCACCGGCTCCGATCACCGCCACCCTTCGACCCACCTCCGCCTTGTGCCTCAACACATCCACGTAGCTTAGCACCTGGCAAGAAATGCCGCATGTATGTGTAGGTGAGACGAGAGCCAATGTTATCGCAATGGAAACGTTGCATATCGTATCTCAACCCATCGTACACCACAGGTTGCAGAGAACCGAACGCCCTGCAACACGAAAACATCGCACAGTCCGGGAATACCAAACCATTCAACCAAATTCTATGCACTGCTCGAAGAGCTTTGATCTCCAGGAGAAGATAAATAGGAGCCAGCTAACCGGCTGAGGAAGTTGCAAAGAGAGCCGATTCAGATCAAACGAACCCCCTTTCGGTACTAATGGAACTCAACGATAGCCGTAACGCTTCAGGCACCTTCGGGTGGTCGGACCCCTCAAAGTTCAGCTTCCTTGGCAGCACTCCAGTCGCCAAGATGACAGCATCGAAGCCCGGATCGGAGGCCAGCAAGGAGGGGGCATCGACCTTGCTGTTGAGTCTGATGTCGACGCCGGTCAAATCGATCTTTCGCTTGAAGTATCTGAGAGTCTCGTAGAACTCTTCCTTCCCGGGGACTAGCTTCGCCATGTTGAACTATCAAGGGAGAAAGGAGAGAGAGGGCGGGAGGGAGGGAAGAGAGACGGGACGAGAGAGGCGGAAAGGAGGGAGAGAGTGAACAGAGAGAGCGAGAGAGAGAGTGAATGAGAGTGTGTGTGCGTGAGAAAGAATGAGAGAGCGAGAGCGATAAGATGCAATGCGCTACATAGCGATGTAGTATTTCGTACCATTCCTATCAACAAGACAAATACCGGAACCCTATCGTCTACAGCAATATCACCATCGTGATGCTTTTATGCAAATAAAATCACACGTATATTGTCCCTCTCACCTGACCCCCCAGTTGGTTCGCGCCTTCGAAAAGTGTGACGTTGTGCCCTCTCTCTGCGCAGCCGGTTGCCGCAGCAAGCCCCGCCGGCCCCGACCCCACTACGGCAACCCTCTTCACTTTCTCTCGATTCACGGGAAGCAGGTTCAGGGTCGTCTCGTACCCCGCACGAGGGTTGACCAAGCACGACGCTTGCTGCACAAAGGGTGGGCGTAACAAGGAGAAAGGGGGAGAGCTGATTACCGATTGTGACACAAGATAATACACCCCCTGGACCGATTTTCAAAGCTCTATTACTCCACGACGAAGAGGATGCATAAACGACACGATACATTCTCGAAAAGCTCTCGACGAGACGGTTTCAACGCCGCCGTTTTCGGCGCTGTGACTGTTACGGCAGTTGAGAAATCGAGCTTCGAAAATCGGTCAAGGGGGTTTGTTATCTTGTGTCATATACGGTATGTCTGGCAATGTTTCACACATAGGACAGATCAGATCGCTATGGATCGCTATGGATCATTTCGGTCGCAGATCACCAAAATCTATAGCTACAGATCGATATGCACATGTTTTTGACTCTTGATCTATAACCCATAGATCATCTGTGATATTTCCGACTCTTGATCTATAACCCATAGATCATCTGTGATATTCCCGATTCTTGATCTATAGACACAGATAGATCTGTACGTTGTCTGCTGTACATGATCTATAAGCCATAGATCATCTGTCACATTTACCGCTCTTGATCTGTAGACCACGGATCATCTGTCATATTTACCGCTCTTTATCTGTAGACCACGGATCATCTGTCGTATTTACTGCTCTTAATCTGTAGACCACAGATCATCTGTCACATTTCCTGCTCTTCATCTGTAGACCACAGATCATCTGTCATATTTACCGCTCTTTATCTGTAGACCACGGATCATCTGTCATATTTACT